AATAAATAAATATAATAATATAAATTGGTCTGATTGCGGTTACATAAAAACTACATTTTAACCCTTAAAAATTCATGGGCATAATTTTACATGTTTTACATTTTTTTAATCCGTAGATTACCAAGCCATCTAGCAAAAAATTCATTGTAAAATGTTTTTCACAGCACAGGAATAGCAAAATAAAAATAAATTTAAATATTGTAAGGCTTTTGACTGAAACATACAATATATTCTTTGCTTAAGATCAATAAAAAACAGTTTTAAATATTTAAGTATTTATTTTTTCATAAATAATTATTTCGTTTAGAGTTATTAATCTTAGGTCGTCATATTCGCTCTTCACAAAGCATGGCCTAAATGTGCGGAGTGGAGGAGTCCTGAGTGCGCGTAGGGTGCAGCTACAACACCGTAGGTGAGGGGAGCAGCCAAAACACTATGAGCGACAACAGCGGGGCTTGTGCGGACGTCGACACGGGACTGGTGGGTGACGGCGGCTGGGGCAATAGCGTGAGCTACGGGAGCATAGGCGGTGTGGGCGACAACAGGGGCAGCAATAGCGTGCGACACAACAGCTGGGCTGGTGCGGACGTCGACGCGAGATTGGTGCGAAACGGCTTCGGGGGGCGGTGTACACGTAGTGGCTCAGAGAACGCTTCTTCAGCAAGTGTCCGTGACCGGCGAATCCAACTGAGTGTCCCAAAAGAGGTGCATATGCGGAGTGGACAGCCACAATAGGTGCTGCTTGTGCGGTCACAACAGCTGGGCTGGTACGGACGTCGACGCGAGACTGGTGGGAGACAGCGGCAGGGGCAATAGCGTGAGCTACGGGAGCATAGGCGGTGTGGGCGACCACAGGGGCAGCAACAGCGTGTGACACAACAGCTGGGCTAGAGACAACGTCGACGCGAGATTGGTGCGAAACGGCTTGGGGAACGGTGTACACGTAGTGGCTCAGAGAACGCTTCTTCAGCAAGTGCCCGTGACCGGCGAGTCCAACTGAGAGTCCCAGCAGAGGTGCATATGCGGAGTGCACACTAACAACAGGTGCTGTATGTGCGGTCACAACAGCGGGGCTGTGACGGACGTCTGTGCGGGATTGATGGGACACAGCAGCGGGCGCAGCGACCACGGAGTGCACTACCGGGGCAACAGCAACTGGGGCAACGGCAGCATGGACGAGAGCACCGTGTCCTTCCAAGGCCTTAGCTTGCAGGTGCAGAGCGCGAGCGTTGATCACCTCAGCAGTGTCGAGTGGACGACCGTGAGGGTCTAACACGATCGCGGCGTGGTGCGCGGGCTGCGCCCACGGGATGATTGAGCCACACGCTACAGCGGCGAGAGCGAAGAACACCACCAGCGATTTCATTTTGAACGTGGTCTGTGTTTCTTCTGACGAACTAGATCACTTCAAAATGAACTCGGTCGACTGATAAATTCAACTCGCATACAGTCATATTTATACTGACCGGATATAATTAAAAAGTGAGTCAATTTCAGTAGGTAATTGGCTTGTAATGTTGGAACAATACCAGTTGTCAATAAAATGTGACCTCTCCAGGCGTGGCGGTCTTAACAAATAAATTTCGTGGTCGCTGTATGTAAAGTGCAACGGGTCTCAGTAAGCATTACGATCATCTATACCGTCACTATAATGTTTAATTTAAAATAATGTTGTTTATATAGTGTTCTGGAAGCAGAGGCGACAATTGACCGGCCATAAAGCTTAAAAAACCGTATGGAGATAAAGTTTCTGGATGTGCAGACTCTTTTTTATAGGATAGGATGACAAACTAGCACACAGTCCACCTGATGGTAAGTGCTTGCTGCAGTCCATAGACATCTACATCTATTCTCGATTACAAATAAAAATGCAGGTGCGTTGTCATCCGTGAGGACTAAGATGGAATGCCTCATTTCCAGTAAAAAGGGTCCTCGATTCTCTACACTCACCATACGAAACACATCAGCATTAAGCTACTATTTTACGCTGGTATTCTGAGAGAGCATGGTTCTTCCTCGGTCGAGTCGACCCATTCGTGCTACAACTATATTACTAATATAACTGCAGCATGACTCTACCACGCCTTAATCATCTTAACAAAACGCCTTAATCATCTTAACAAAATTCCATGTCCAGTGCAATAATTAGAATATTCTAAAATGGAGGAAACAAAAGGAGAAAAGGCATGTTGAGTGACAACATTGTTAAGAAAGCGGAAAATATTGTTGTTAAAATTACCTATTAGCAGAGACAGGGAGACATGAAATTTAACAGAAATAATTATGTACTGTATTAACAACTCATATCAATTTTATAAAGTAATAATTAAATATCATCATCATCATCATTACAGTCCCTTCACAAGTCCACTGCTGAACATAGGCCTCTCCCAAGTTATGCCACAAAGCACGGTCCTGAGCCACCTGCATCCATCGACTTCCTGCATGTCTTACCAGGTCGTCACTCCATCTAGTGGGGGGTCGCCCTACACTTCGCCTACCGGTACGAGGCTGCCACTCGAGAACCCTTCTTCCCCAACGGTTTTCGGTTCTTCGAGCTATATGGTCAGCCCATTGCCACTTCAGCTTACTAATCCGTAGGGCTATGTCAGTCACTCTGGTTCTACTGCGAATATGCTCATTTTTATGTTTATCACGCAGAGAAACTCCGAGCATAGCCCTCTCCGTAGCTCGCTGAGCGACTTTGAGCGTCCTCATACGGCCAGCAGTGAAGGAACACGTCTCGGTTCTGTAAGTCATCACTGGCAACACACACTGGTTGTACAACTAGTTTTCAGGTTTTGAGCTATAGCTATAGCCTGACGAGAAGATGTGTCGTAATTTCCCGAACGCTGCCCAGCCGAGTTGAATCCGTCGATTGACCTCTCGGTCGAAGTTGGACTTACCTAGTTGGACTATTTGTCCCAGGTAAACGTACTTGTCAACAACTTCGAGCTTAGTGCTCCCAACAACTACCGGCATAGGTGTGACATGGACATTTAACATGATCTTTATTTCGTCCATGTTCATCTTAACACCTATCCGTTGGGAGGCACTATTATATTGAGGTATAATTTTTACATTGTCGACGATGGCCTTGTTTTAAAGTCGTTAAACCTATTTCCCAAGGAGCTTACAACAGTTAAAATTCTTTAAACGTTTATTGATAAGTATAGTAAACATTTTAAGAGCATTAAGTTATCTCTCTTACTGTTACTAGAATCAGTAGCTCTTGTTAAAAATAATACTTAAATCAAATAAAAATACAAAACTTCGTTCTGCTCCACCGCAACTAGATAAATAGTAGGTAGTTTTTGCGTTAATCTTGAATCTTGAACGTAATCATAACACAAACATATATTGAATAAAACTATTATTTACGGATTTTATCGCGTTTAATTACTTTAATTTATTTTTATTATTATCCCGACGTTTCGGGTGCTTTACATATAATCTTGACAAAAATTCATTACTAATGAATGAATAAAGAATTAATGTGTGTGTAATATTTGTGATGTAAATTCCCTAATTTACTACTCTACATCAAATAAGTTATCTTCCAGTCGGTCTTTTCAAAATAGTTTAAAAGCTCCATAAACCACTTTTAACATTTGAGATTAGTTTAGAAATACAAAGATTTAAATAAGCCCGCAACGTGATCTCCCACCCGAGAATTTTAAAATATTCAGTCAACTTCTATCGACATATTAGCGAGTCGTGGTGTATTACTCGTCTTAAATTTTGCAAAACCCGAGAAAACTTGTCAGCATCAGTGAAATTGTTGATTGTAATTTTAAGTGCTGATTTACCATGTGCTCGACAGTGAACATGTGAAGTTCGTGTATACGCACTGAAGTAGCGTGGTGAATCAGTTGTTCTATAACCTTATCAGAAACAAGATGAGGCTGGTATCAAGCAGTTGGACGTACATATGTACAAAGATTGTTATTTTACTTTTATTTTACTACATGACGGCAACTGTAAAGCTATGTCCTGTAATGTTCGTGCTGTTAGCCAGTTGGCTTTTATAGCTTTATCGAACCAGCATGTTTGAGATGTTGAAAACTATTTAGAGAACATGTGAAATCTACCAATTCTTGCCTTGAAATCGAAGGAGGTTTTAGCCCAGACTTAGAATATACGCTTTTACGTTTCAGTAATACGATGATGTTTTTATGTTTATGTTTTCCTTAACGAGATTTATCATTGTATCAACTCCAATTGGTATAAGAAAACGCAACGTGTGCCTCTAGAAAAAAGCCTCCTACCTCCTTCTTTTTTCCTACATCTTTTCTGATTACATAGGGAATGATCATGCGGCTTATACTTAGATTGGTGTTTAGTAGGTTCGTTTTTTATCCAGCTGGATCACTATTCACGAAACAAAATGGCACTCATTGTTATGTTTAAAAGTAAAGCTTAATAGAGCCACTGTTATTATAATTAATGAGGTATTACACCACCCTTTCTGTTTGGATTTGGCTACAGGTGGTGCCAACACCTATAACATCGAATTAATTTGTCACAAAATAAATGATATAAAATGAATTTGAACTACAATCATTATCTTTATCTGAAATGGTGTCACGGGTTCTTATTTACCATTATCAACTTCCTATGTGAAATCAATAAAGGTCCGATTTTCAATCTTTCTTCAATCCTCAAATAAAAGTTATTTATAGGATAAGTAATACATAAAAAAATTAAAAACTACGGTTGTACGAACTCAAATATTTAAAAATTTTCACTTTTATATTAAGCCAGATCGTAGTAAGTTTGACAGATAACTTTTATTTCATAGATAACTTTTATTTGACGAATGAGAAATAGGCTAATAAATAATTAATTATAAGTCTAAATTGTTAATACATATTAACATTAACTGTCTTCTGTATAATTGTATAAGGCCAATAAAAAAGTTTTAGATATTTGAATATTTATTTTTTTATAAATAATTATTTCGTTTAAAGTTATTAATCTTAGGTCGTCATATTCGCTCT